CTACCCGAGTTGAACCCATGCAAAGTGTATGTATTGGAGGGACAGAGGGGGAAGGAAAAAAAAAGGTGGATAAAAGGAAAAACAGGGATAGAAAAGCCACGTCTGCACAACAATTTAAAAGGTTAGAAAGTAAGCAAGAGAGAAAAGTGCTGTTTTTACACTGTGATATAAAATTTTAGGTATGAATTTTGACCGGTCTTATTTATTCATGAACACACATACTGTTCTCCTTCCCCCTGCAAAAACAGCATTGCTGAAAATGTTACAGAGAGTTCTAGGTTTTTAATGTTGTTTGTGTTTTGATTGATGCCTGCAAATTTGATGCATTTCCAGCTGGAATGTCTTTTCACCTATAAATTTGTAAGACATTCTAAAAACACACTCAACATAGTCTTTACTACCAATGTCTAGAGTTACATTTGCTTCAGGTAAATAAGACTATTTGCCTTATTTCACTTTTCACAAACAGTGATCAAGAACCAAAAATGTACTTTGGTTATTTTTTTAAAATAATTCTATTAAATTCCGGCATGCAGAAAACAGAATTGCTGCCTACATCTTAGAAAATATTTAGACCATTTTCTGAAATCTTTTTCTCAAAAATCATAACCAAAAGTTTGTCTAGCATTAACACCATAATGTTAAGAAAAAGGAGAAATCTGGAAAGTAGAGATGAAACGGCAAGTTAGTATTTCTTCCTCTTTCAGGAATGACAAGAGGCTAATTATAGTAATGCCTCAAACAAGAGTTAAAAGAAATCCCCAAATCTGTAACTTCCCTACCCTCACTAAGCAAATATGAGGACAAGAGAGTCAGACAAGCATGAGCTACAGTATGATCATACATGATATCAAATTCTCACATATGCATAAATTTTCTCAATCTGAACTTGCATGGGCCTGCAGTGAGCATTTAAGCTGAAAATTACTGAAGTTAGAAGATCTCATCAGTTGAGTGAAGCTCTAGCAATTAATATTTAGGAATTATTTTGTCAAAAATGCATAGGGATTTTCCACAAGTAGACCTTAAAACACACACACACAGAGTAATTACAAACAAAGGGTGCTTTTTTGGAGGCTGCTTTTCTTCTCATAATTAAAGCAACTGAATCTAGTTATTTCTTGAAAAACACTCGAGTCCTACAAAAGATAATTACAGAAGTGTAGCTTAGGTTTTGAGCCAACTGAACTCAATACGCCTCTTCTACAAATATTTTTCCAGAGGCTAAAGAAAACTTAGTACAAGTATATCTAACATATTTGGATCTTCCACGCCAAGAAGCAGAGGTATGCATCAAATTACTTTCATGCAAGAACTTTAGAAGCATTTACCTATGGAAGGTTGGCAGCTAGATTCATACAAGTATTCAGGTGCTTAGATGCTCAAGACACCACTTTGCTGTCATCTACCCCTAAAGGTGTCAGCTTTCCCCTAATAGCCTGATTTTCCAAACAAAACCTATAAAACAACAACTCATTTTTAAGGGATGTATGCCTTGGGGCTGATATGCTCAGTGCCAGGCTCACTGGGACTATCAAACCAAGCACTTCCAGAGGGTTTCCAACTCCGCATGCTCTTTGTTGTAGGGCTCCATCCAATTAATCTTTAGATCTGGAGTGGAACACACACGAAACCAGGTAATATCTCTCACAAAGCACTGACAAGTTGATCTTTGACCTGCACGTGGGACAGAAAAGTTCAGATCTTCCTCTGTTTCTTCTGGAGCAGGAAATTCAACTCTTCCTTCCCTCACAGAAAACTCCTTAAACACAGGCACTTGAGATGAAGGAATCTTTTAAAATCTCCTACTGGAGCTATCGTATCGCCATCTCGTAGAATACTTACAATACTTGTAAGATAATAAATGCTTAAAAAATATTCCCACAGTCCATTGGTTCCCATGTTTTACAGAAGGGACCAAAATGACAATCTCTCCCTGCACACTTCAGAATGTGCATGGTCCTCAGCACAGGATGCAAAAAGACCTGGACCCCAGAGCCATTAAAAGCACGACAGTTAACACATTTTCCTGTTAATTTGCCGACAAAGCAACAGCAGGGCTTGCATGGCTTTGGTTCCTAATTCTAGAGAAGGCAAAGCCTAAACAGAGGGCAAATTTTGTCTCTGACATAGAGATTCTCTGTCCTTCTCACAGAAGTTGAAGAAATTATTAAAAAAACCCAGATACGCAGACTTCTCAGTCCATACCACAAAACACACTTCCGAATCACATTCAGCAGCTGTTCAACTCTCTGCAGAACAGCAAACCCATAACAGGAAAATGCAGTTGAATATTCTACCCACAGACATGTGCATAGTTTGGGCACAGCTGCCTTTGTTTTTTGGACCTTGTCAGGTCTAGGGAAATACAGAAATGGAGTCTGGAAAACACCTGATTTTTTATCCCAAGTGGACTACGTATTTGCACTAAGTAGAAAACAAAGGAGAACTACCCCTAACTTCAGAGCTGGTCTTCTGAAAAGCACATCCATGTAAGCAGCTCATGAATCTGGCTACTGTTTCTACCACTTCCAAGGTCACTTTGGGGTCAATTTACTGCACAAAGATGAAGTACACTAGAAAATAAAACACTTGAGGAAAACCACATCAACTCTATTTTTCAAATGATCTATGACCATCACTGGATATTTGTTCAGTCTGTTCAGACAATAATAATTCTCAAAACTGGCTACTGCTATTCCAGACAGTATAAAAGAAAGGTCTTAGGATGTAATAATACCAAACAGTTCGTTTTGTCATCTGAAGTTTACAGTTTGGAATTGAAAAGTTATACCTTGTTACAAGTAACTCTGAAGAGTAATAAAACAGCAATACATTGGGTGTAAAAACCACCTGCCTCTCAGTTTTCCTCCTGTTTGCCTGTTTCGTAACAGGGATGACAACAATGAACACATACCCCTGTTCCAACCCCTTTCAAGCTCTTGCCATTTTTGGATGGCAAGTATACACCAGGGATAATACTATGTTAAAGGCCGCGTTAGCCCAGAGGTGCTGGAGCATTAAGAGCTGCATGCAGGCTGGCTGGCTGCATGCTTCTCCAACCAGCTCCAGGACAGTGCTCTGACACAAAATCAACTCTACCTGCGTCATGCTCATGTACTGTTCTAGTGGAAGCACATTCAGACGAATTTTCCTTCAGGAAGGTAAAGCTAACCAGTAAATGCAAATTCAAACAGAACTATAAAAGCAAGAGGTTTGAGTTAAGCATCTATCTTACTGTTCCATATCCTCTCTTCAAGGTCACATCTCCAAAAATTATGCACTGAAGAACTCTATGTAGCCTTAAAGCTTGAGGATATATTATTTAAATAGTGTACATAATCTTCTGTTTTTTTCCACCCAATACAAAATCCTTCCCTTTATTTTTTTTCCAAGGCTTACAGATAACCCTATTATTTGTTGACAACTCACTTTAAAATGCTGTACTCCCAAACACAAGGAATTGCCAAGGCTGCCCTTCTCTCCAAATCTACATGCAAGTTGTTATCAGAACATGCCACAGCAGCCAGCAGAACAACTGCTCAGAGGTTAGACTGCACACTTCCCTCTTCTCTTCAAAACTGTATGAATACTGTTTAAGTTTCCACTCACAATTTTCAAGATTTGACAACAGAATGGAAATCTGAATTTGATGTATGCAACTTCTAATAAAAGCTTGCTTTATTAAATAACATCAAATTGCATGCTTGTACAAAATGCTTCCTCAGATCTTCCCTGCAATAATGCACATCTCCTGGGAGCCTGCCTTTTTGATCTGTGGGACAAAAACCTCTCCCAACTGTTTTATCAAACTCAGTGTTCTGTTTCAGATGCAAAAACCCTGGAAATGTCACCTAAGGACACAAAAGACTGATTCACTATGGGTGACAGTTCAAGCTCTGCCTCTTGGGATGCAGAACACCACTTACTAATCTCCAAGTAATTTTCAATAAAGCTCATGCATTTTCTCAGGTAATTGTTACACACACCCATTTCCACAGAGCATATGTGATATTTTCTTGACCTCTTTCCCAGCTCCAATCCCCACACCTCCCTGATTTTTGAGTTGAAAACTATGGGTAAGGTACGTAACAGCAAAAGGAAGGAATGATGGGCTACCCTGCTCGCAATGCAGCATATATGAATAGCATTAATTTCACTGCAGGGAAACTGTCTACATGTACATAGTGCTACAAAATTCTGTTCAGCTGAACAAATGCCACTAGTTATAGAGCAGATATTCCTTATTTTCTCAAGTTTCTTTCTCTTTGACAGATCACAAAGCACCATACAAGCAGCAATCTGAACCTCAGACACATGTTTCAGCTAGAAAGATGCTGAAAGCATAACAGGTGAGAAGCATCTTTTTATGATAATAAGGGCAAAGGATGAAAAAACTCTAACTAAGAACCCTGTGGCAGACCATTATACTTTCAAAGGCACCAAGAAAGTTTAATGCATGGCCAAACTGAGAAACCCCAGCAGCTTTAAACATCTCGTCTGACTGCCTGACTCTGCAAAATGCACATACCACCATGCACACCTCAAAGAAGGTGGTTAAGAAGGGAGGATAACCCGCATCTTCAAATTCCTTTATGTTTATTACCTGGTAGATCAGAGATTTAAGACACCTAACATGTATCAAAGAGTAATAGATGTTTTCATACCACTTGATTTCCAGGGTTTGTAAACAAGACCATTAATCTTTAATGTATCAGCAGCACAGGCAGATGTGGTTTCTTTCAATGATACACAGCCAAATGCAGCAACCTCTTACCAGTCAAATTCCCAACTATGTCTAGACCTTTGGTACAGAACGAAAACCGTCACTGATTTGGTTTTTGTATTTTTAACAAATATACCTGAGTAAGCGTGGAAAGATATAACCCAAGGCCAGCGAGCCAGAGGTAGGGCAAATCTAGACCCCAGTCGCAACATCTGCATGCTTACTACTGATACATAAAACTCCATAATTTCAGAAAAACATGCAAGGATGTTACCTTTCTGGACGTGGATGATGTCTGGAAAGTTTGCCAAATGCCCCTGATACAGCGCTAACAAATCCATCACAGGATCTAGGTCCTGCCGGGGCTGATCTGCAAAGAGGTCCCCGATGGCGTCATAGGCTTCTGCAGTGAAGGCTATGGCTTGGTTGAGGCCAGCCGAAAAGGCCTGCTGGTCCAGCTCAAATGCCTGACTGAGGCACTTAAAGGAGTGCCCCACTTTCTGGTATTCCTTCTTGAAACCAGTGACTTGTTTGCGGGCAAACTCGTTGGCTGTGTGATTGAGCTGCAGGGCACTCTCATCCATCTTCTTTGTGAAGGCTTTGAAGCCATCTACCTGGCTTTCCACCTCCTGCAAGTCCAGGCTGGCCCCAGGGCCTGTGGGGACACTGATGGTCAGGAAAAAGTTAGCACCTACCATCTCATCCTTCTCAGCCTTGCGCTTGCCTTGTTTCCAGGCCTTCTCATCCGTGCTGGGACAGGTGAGGAAGTGTTGGAAGGCATCACACTGAGCCAGCACAGGGTGGCTGCACATGTGGTCCATCCACCAAGCCAAGCCTTTGCGACGTTTGGAGATGAAGTCCTCCTCAAAGCGCCCAGTGGCCTGCTTCTCTGGCAAGTGCGGCACAGAGATGACGGGGAACTTCTCAGCCAGGCGCCCGTACAGCCAGTCAAAGTGTTTGTAGCGGCGGTGCACCTGCTGCCCGGTGTGGCTGGGCACCAGCTTGTAGGCAATGTAGCTCTTCATGCCCTTGAACTTGGTCTGCTTGGTGGGGTCCTCGATGGAGCACTGGAAGGGGTAGGGGTTCTCCTGCCACTCAGGGCCCCGGGGGCCCAGCACCACGCATAGCTTGTCCCCGTCCTTCACGAAGCCTGATGCCTCGCCCAGCACGAAGGCCTCCCCGCCAGACTTGACGAAGGTGGAGAAGCGGTTGAGGTTGCGGCTCACTGTGGCCGAGCTCTTGGCGCCGCCGCCGCCGGGCGGGTGCGGGTGTCCCGCAGGGTGACCGCCGCCTCCGCGAGAGCCCAGGGAGAGGTCGGACCGGGTGGACAGGCGGTAGCGGCCGGGGGCCCCGCCGCCCGCCGTCTCGTAGTCGGGGTAGGAGCTGCCCAGGGCTCCCGGCTCGTCGGCCACGGTGGAGCTGTCGTCCCAGTCGTCGTCCCAATCGTCATCGCTGCCCTGGCTGGGCTGGTAGGAGCCGCCGTAGGGCGCCGGCGGGAAGGGGTACCCGGCGGCGGCAGGGGGCAGCGGGAAAGGCTCGGGCGCCGCCGCCGGCGGGGGCTGCTGTGCCGCCGGCTTGAAGGCGGCGGGGGGCGGCAGCGGCTCGAAGCCGCCGACGGGCACGTTGGCGTAGCGGGCGGGCGGCGGCGGCTCGGCGGCAGGGGCGCGGATCACCTGCACGTAGGAGGCCGGGAAGAGGCCGCGGTCGCCGCGGCTGTTGACGCCCTCCAGCCAGCCCTCGATGTCCTGCTCGCTGCACAGGCTCAGCACCTCGTGCTCCCGCAGAGAGATCTCTCCCGGGTTCTCCGACCTGAAGTCGTACAGCGCCCGGGCACGCAGCGCCATGGCCCCGCCGCTCCCCCGGGACAGGGGGTACTCCCCGCTGCCGCGGTACCGCCGCCCCTCACCTCACCGCACCGCGCGGCGCCGGCGGGGCTGCAGCAGGGAGAGCACCGGGGTGTCCTCTGCCTCCGCGTCCCGCCGGCGAGGACGCCGCGGCAGCTGACCTGCCCGGGCTCCACTCCGGTCCGCGGCGGCTCCGAGTCCCGGCTTCACCCCGGCGGGCGAGGCAGGGCGCGGGGCCGGACCGGCGGCCGTCCCACGTCGCCAGTTTCGCTAATCCAGAGCCGAGAGGCAGGGCGGAGGAGCCGAGCGCAGAGCGGCCGCCCCCATCGATGGGCCCGGCCCACCTCTTACCCTCCCTGCCCGCCCCCTGGCGTCAGCCCGGCGGCCCGGTTCGAGCGCGTCGTGCTGCGCCTCGCAAGTTGTAGCGCTGTACGTTCGGTTCCTGAAACGCGCTGGGTGGTTTGTCAGACGCCTGGCAGATTTCCGCGGTTCCTCCCGACACTACGGAGGTGTCCCAGCACCTCTCCAGCTTTGGGTAAGAAGCTTGGCACCTCCTCGGGCGCTTGGTTCTGTTCCCAGGGCTCCCGTGATGTTAACTGGACGCAGCTTCAGCATCTCCACGGGAGGTGCATTACCCATATGGTGCGGAAGGTTTTACTGTTTCTGGAGGTCCTCTTCCAGCTGATTGTGCTTTCAAAGGAAAGTAAGGTTGAAGTTAGGAAAGCGTGTGTTTTATACGTGGAGAATGTGTGTTTCAGCCCCCTCAAAAAAGGTGGTCATCCCTGCCCTGGTCATTTCCTGTCATAACTCCTTCACCCAGGACAATAACACCTGGTCCTGTGTTGTCTAATCACATGGTTCCCATCCCATCATCTTCGAGCTCTCCTTGGAGCCTGTGATACAAGTTTCTCTTACGGTTTCTACCTGTTCACAAACAATTATTTCTCTGGAGGAGATGTGCCTGTTTGGACCCCAGTTCTTTGTGCTTTCCCATCAGCATCCTGCCAGATATGCATCTCTTGCTTGTTTCTCTGATGTAGTTCAAAGTTCTCAAAGGTCTTTGTGTCAAATAACTCATATTTGTCTGGGGGCAATTCACTGGAGTGCTACAAGACCACTGCTTCCTTTCATTTTTAGTTTTAGTGCTTGATTCATGTGGTTTGCTTCTGTTCACTTTTTTGTTAATTTTTCTTAATTTTTCCAACATTAAATATCATCACAGTGCTTTGGTGTTACTGTTGATTGTCATGTGTACTTCACATAGTTCTAATATATCAACTCACCCCAGCCTAGCATTTTGGCCCCAAGTTGTTTTATTGCTCAACTACAGAAGTCTGTTTTAATTAGCTAATACCAATAGTGCTGAAAGAACCACATAGTTCACCACACAACCAGCCAGCCCAGTGGTATGCATTCTTGTTGCACCACCTGTGTCACCATCTCCAAACCCAAGCACTAACTTTGCAGCAGCAAGTTTACAGAGAGCAATTCCAAGTATGAAGTGAGAAGGGTCCATCTTCCCTCAAGAGAAAGCTGGCAGCCCCCCAGGATGGTGCAGCTGAAGACCTCAACTTCAGACGAGTCTCCTGGGCTTCCCCACCAGCACCCTTGTGGGAGCACCCTGACCTGGTCTGGCCATGGTTACTCCACACAGCAGGCTCTGATGAGCTCCTCAAGCCCTGTGTCAACATCTGCTAGTGCTCTTAGGACTGTCAAAGCAGCGTTCTGCTACTCCAGTTGGTATGACCATCAGTGTCTGCCTTCAGCACAGCCATGGCCCTCTTCTGCCAAATGCTGAGATTGCCATGGCACCTGATCCACAGTCCACATACTGCCCTCCACCCAGCTGGGCAACCTAGAGCAAGGACTAAAACCCCAACAGGATGTAGTTGTTGATAGGTTTGACCTTGGTCTTAGATTTCATCCCAAATTCTGACAGCTGCAAATCAAGATAGGTGATTGGGGTTTTTCTTTCCTTCCGAAGTTACTGCTAACATTGATCTGGCAGTCTTGTGCGTTCATGCAACTCCTCACAGGTTCAACTACAGAAAATTAGCTCCTGATCTGCCTTTCTTATACCGCTTACTGTTTCATATAAATTTTACAGCACTCGGTTCAACTCCTTTCCCAAACTTTTCTGTCCTATTTGTCTCAGTTTCAGTGCCCTTAGCCATTAATGTTGTTTTCTCTGAAACCGTTTTTTCACGAGGTGACCAGTAGTGGAAATAATGCTGCCCTACTTGATTTGTGTAAATTAACACATTTAAGATTTGCTTCCATTGAACACCCTGGAGTGACAAAAGAGATGCCTTGCACAGCTGCACAGCCAGTTCAGGGGTGGGATATTGCTGCTGCAAGTGGTCATGTCAGGCTGTGGTTGTCATGGCCAAGGCAGGATGAAGAGACAATGCTGAGGTAGGTGTCTAGCTTACCTCCTTGCGGCCCATGGTGGAGGTGCCAGCTGTCCTGCTTTTCCTGCCCCCTTAGCACGCTGAATCTGATCTGATCTGATCTAAATACTAATAAATTAGTATTTACTAATATTAATATTAATACTAATACTTAGTCTTACTAATAAGTACTTACTAATAAGTACTGGTTCGGTGTTTGAATGGGCACAAGCAAAGGCATCAAGTTCAACAGGGGCAAAACCTGCTACCAGGAGAATTCGAAGGCATAAGAACTGTAAAACTAATGAGAATAATATGTTTTAGATAAGTAAGTATAAACCAGTGAGTAGTTACTCTCTAAAATCTTTCCATTTTATCTTGAGATTTTAGGAAAAATCAAGTTAGATGAAATTGGGTCATGATTTTTCAGGCACTAATGCCATCAATAAGTCAAAATTATGAAAGGAAAAAGTGTGTTATATTATTTCCCTAGTGGACAAAACTGCAAAGAGAATTTGGAACAATAACAAGGTTGTAAGTGGCATTTTCCATCTTTCTTCCACCAGTGTGCCAGCTCTGAATACCACCATGTGCAGGCAATCTACTGTGGATATTGAGATTAACATTTTTTAAAACTCAACAATTATTTTCAAGAAAAATAACCCCCAAAATTTAGAAGGCATCCCCCAAAATATTGTTAAAGGATTAGAAGAAGCTGGCTTCTTAGGCCCTCGGTAACCATCTACAGTGCCAAGTAGAAGAGGTGGGTTGATTGAGCTTTGTTTCTTGTTCAGACTAGCAGCAGCAAGGATTTCAAAATAGGAATGGCACATAATGACTTACAGCATTTTAGCTGCACAAAACACGTATCTGAATGCTTTGCTTGGCTGGGAATTTCTGTCTTCATGGGGAATCAGATTTTCAGAGTCAAAGTGAATGTTATTGTGATCTTATTGAGACCGATAACCTACAGTTCAGTGAAAATGTCTATTATTCAGTGTGTTCCTAGGGATCTATAATTTGGGGGTTGGAACTTAAGGCCAAACTAAAGCCAAATGGCTACCAATATGTGTGTATGGGGTATCTCATTGTTCTAATTTGGAGTTAGGAATCTCAAGACCCTTGAAAATCCATGCAAATGAGGTGTTTGAAAGCAGGATGATTTATTTTTCTGTTCAGGTACAGAAGTTCAAAATAAAAAAAAAGGTAACTTTGGGGGGAAAAGGTAAGGATATTAGGCTATCTTGAATTAGGCAAAAGTGAATTTGTAGAGGATCTGGAACCAAGAATAACAGAAGTGTGTATCAACCTGTGTAACTTTTTCTTGAAACTCCTAAACCTTTCCTTCTTTATTTTGTAAATTTTCCTCTATGATATCACTTTGCTGCTTTTGTAAGAAAAACAAAGTGATTTTCCATGAGAAAGGATGAAGCTCTGGTGGAACTTAGCCTTTTCTTTATGACGATTCCCTTTTGTGGACCCTGGAAAAACTGTGTGTGTGGTTATTAAACAATGTTCTAGTAGGACACACACTGAATAGTGATTTGTGCAAGGAAATGGTTAAAAATATGCCGGTTTTCATCACTAAAATTTCTAAGAGCAAACTCAATCATTACTTAGTATGTGATTGATTTTGTTGTTGTTTTTATTGTTGATATTTGTATTATATCTCCAGATGTTTGAGTTTTTTTTTTTGTTGGTGGTACCGTCTCACCATAAATATAAATTACTTACTTTTTTAAAAACTATAGAGATGGATAGTAAATTTCACTTAAAGGGGGAAGAAACTGGTTTTGTTCCATTTCTACATCATTTGTAACTGCACTGTTGCAGCTCAGGGTGCCTGGAAGGGCTGCCACTAGAGGGCACGAAATGATTTTAAACACTGAAGTTACCATACTAAAAGCAAGTAAAGACTGAACTACCAAAGCAGTGAAGAAAATGCAAGAAATGCGACAAATATGTTACTCTAGGGATATTCTAAAAACTGGATATCCCCAGTTTCTAAAAAAAAAAATCGAATATGGTAAGCTTTTAAGTGTTTTGTAAAAGCACACTTGAAAACATAAAACAGATTTCAGAAATAGAGACACACTATAGTGTGCTATGAAATTTAGGAAAAGATGCAGTGGGATTTAGGAGAAACAGTATTTTAAAGCCAGGAACATAAATTAGACATAAATTAGACTTTTTTTTCCAAACTATGTTGTGTAAAATTAGAGATAATTGAGCAGAAATGCTGAGGTTCTTGTTTGACCTTCTTGATATGTATTGGCTACCTCAGCACCAGCCTGTGTAATAGATGGCTATTACTTAGAAATTCTCCACCTTCCATTTAATATTGCTTGGAATGTATATCTGTCTCCATTCCCTGTCTGAAGAGATAACGTTTCATAACCATGTAAGGATGCTGTCAGGGTAAGCCCATTATGTATGCAGTTCTTCCATGCTCTGGCAGTGGGGTATGTGCTAGACAGACATTCTGATGGCTCTGGGAGTCCTCTGTGGTTAAAGACAAGTGGGCCTGGGTCGACTGCCAGTTCCTTGACATGCATACAGGCAAAATTTACCTCCTAAATGTAAAACTGAGGTACAGTAAAGGGGTCTGCATTAGCCTGCTGTGCTTTAGTCCCAGCTGCACAAGTCCTTGAGAAGTAATCTCAGTCATATATATATTGCAGTCCAATACCTTTCATGATAGCAAATATTTTATAAAAAGCAAGACTGTGAGCTAAGTGGGTGATTGGTAAGGAAATCCCGGTGAGGCCAGCATTATGTCCATGTGCCATATAAATGTAGCTAAAAAATAATCTCAGAAATAAACACATTGTATAGGATGAATAAATTAGGATATAGCAAGAATGAAGTATTGAGCATGGATTAATTTCCCACATG